GGACATAGCCCTTGGTTTAGCTGTTAACAGCGTGGGAGCAGAAGATCCAGGCTGAAGCAGCCTCCTGGCACAGCCATTCCTGTGGGTGTGGGTATTGCCAGCAGGAGAGACGAGAGCAAGGGGATGAGGGTGGGAGTGCAAAGCCCTGGTGGTTGCACATCAGAGGCTTTTAAGGAGTAATAACTTGCATATCAAGCTTTCTTCACTGAGAGATGAGATCCCCAACCAGAACGTTCACAAGCGAGGCAGCCCCAGCCCTATGGGTTGTCCCAACACGCTTGGGGCAGATAAGCACAGCGGAAAAGCCCAAGGAACTGCTGCCAAACGACTGGGAAGATGCAGCCCACGGTGTCTGTTGTGTCTGAGATCTCTGTAAAGTCTCTCACATCTTTCCTCAAGTTTAGTTTTCCAGTGGAGGCTGTTGCAGTAATGAGAATGTCTCCCATCTGCTCCTCACATGGCTTGGCACATTTAGCCAGAATATATATATTTTTATTATGGGGTTAGCCAGTGGTAACCATGACAATTAGACTTATCACGCAGCAGTTTTTTTTTCCCTCCTTGAGTCAGTTTGAAATGCTGACAATTAAATGGATACAGTACACTTTAGAGATCCATCAGTCTCTTTGTTGTCTTGACAACCAGAGTATATTTAGAAATGTAACAAGTACATGGAGTTCAATTGCACTTTTGCTAAAACATAGTTTTGTAGCTTGAGAATTTAATCTGTTGTTTGTAGATCCAGGTGCTTATTTGAGCTATGCCTGACTTTCTCTTTGGTCTCTCTGGGAAGCTCCAACATCGGCTGGTGGAAAGAAGGTCCTTGTCAAGCAGGGAGCAAACGTGCCCACTGTGTGTGGCAGGGGCTTGGGTGAGGGGCTGGCAGCCACTTCCTGCTTGGGCACTGGATGTGCTGGGTGCCCCTGTGTACTTGTGGCTATTCATTTGCAGTGCAAGAGGAACGTGTGTGGTTGTCATCCCAGGTGTTTGTCCCTGCAGATCCAGCTCAGCAGACAGGGCTGGGGAGCCATGAGCAGTGTGTCCAAACACCCTCTCCCAGATGAGCTGCTGCCAGGGTTCAGTGGCACTTTGGTGCAGGAGGCCAGTGCCACGCTGCATGACACTGGCAGACTGTGATGGCTCTCCTGCCCCTGAGCTACCCAAGCTTTGGTTGCAAATGGAAACAACTCAGCCATGGAAGCAATACCAGGGACTGTTTCTCCATATAATTTCTCCTGTTTTGTCTTTGATTTGATGGGGGTGTGTTTCTTTGATTTTAACAAAACACTACTACTAATTTTTTTTTATTCCTTCCAATTTGACTGGCAAAATTGAGCTCATTCTCTCCCCGCTGAGCTGGAATAGCAGTGTGTGGGCTAGCTGTCTGGAGCTATGGATTTTTAAGGCTGCATCCAGGGCTAGAAAAGAAGGAGGGAATTACGATGGAGTGCACTCTGTGGAGCTCTAAATAAGCCTGTCTCTCAGCACCCCTGTGCACACACTGATGGTGGGTGTGTGTGGAGTGTCTGTGTTACTCCCTGCCCTTTCCCTTTTGAGCCAGGAGAGAGCTGTGGTCAGTGCAGGCACTTGTGTGGGTGTGACAACCATACCTGTAAGTGTGGTGATGTGCCAGCCCAGAAGAGCAGCTGGGATGTGTGGCCCCCATCTGCTGCCACCCTGCAGCCCAAAGGTTGTGAGATGGGGGCTGGCAACACAGTACCCTTCTTACACTCTTAGCACAGGACCTGACATGCTGGCTTCAGATCTGTGTCTGGACACGTGTGGATCAGAGTACTTCCCTGGCTTGAGTGATAAATGAATAAAATGAAAGTCAGATTGGGAAATAGCTCAAATGTTCCCGCTGCCCCTGTACCTGGCTGACCCAGAGTTGTCCTGGTCAAGGCTGTCCTTTCAGAAGGCTTGCAGGTTGAGGAGCGCTAAAAGGGACTTTGTGTGAGGTGTTGATGGCCTTTCATAATTGGCACCTGAATCCCATGGCAGGGCTTGGGATGTTTGTGTATTTTCTGTAAAACGTGAAGCAAGACTTCTCCATTTCTCCCTGTTTTAGGCTTGGCTGTTAATTGATTCCTGGCAATATAATTCGGTCAGGAAAAGTGAAAAACCCAAACAAAACCGAATTCTCCTTTGTCAGCAAAGCTGTGGCAAAGCAGCCTTCTGAACAGGAGGTTGGTTGCAGCAGATGGAGTGGCCTTTTGCTGGAGGGAAGCAGTTCATTTGGTGAGATGGTTTAAAGAAGACAATGGTGTGTCCATGGTATGGCTGTAGTGGTGTTCATCCCTGGACAGAGATCTGTAAAACTGGTCAGGAGTGCTGCTCTGCTTCTGGGGAGCACAGCCAGCACAGGTTTGCCACTGGGATGGTTTATTACAAGGAGGTGAGGAAGGCTTCAGGGAGTGGAGTCCGCCCTGAGGTCAGTTGTTAGGACAGTGACAGCCAGCAAAATGTATCTGTATTTCTTCGGCTGCACAATGTCTTGTCTGTGCATTACACCCAAAATATTAATAAGGCTCAAAAGGAGGACAGCATTATATGGTTTTGCTTCCTTCTTCCCTATGTTTCTTTTTCACTCATTGCCTATCAAATAATTTCGTTGCTTTCTCAGTGTGTATGCATGCCTCAGTTTAGTTTTTGCATTTTCTTTCTTCTTTCCATTTTACCAATTTCCTAATGAAAATCCCAAGCCATAGTTATATTTCCACTCCAGCTCTGTTTGTGTACTGTTAACATGCCTTGTTCCAGTGTTTAATAGCTGCTGGGGTTTATTCTTAAAATATAACCACCAAACCCCAATGATCCTAATGATTATTCAAGAGTGCTTTAAACAAGTTATCCCAATCCATCTGACAAAGATAATGGTCTTCTATTAGAAGATACTTAGCTGGAGGTTGAATGAGCTGTAATGTTTATGGGTTTGCAGATCTGTAACCAGACAAACTCAGAATAACTCCTTGGATTTCAGTGGAGCTATGTTTATTTATTACAACAGAGGCTTAGGCAGTGCTTTAGATGCAAATTGCAACCTCTGTGAAGTTAAGTGGGCTTTTGATTTAATTTCTGGAAGCAGTAATGTCAGCAGAGAAGCGAAGAGCTGGGACCCACATAGCCTGAAGTCTGTAACTTTGGATTGCTCCCTTTCCCTTACTGTCAAGATCAGATTCCTTTGGTTGGGGCTACTAATCAAAATGCAGGTTCTCTTAAGCATCTCCTAAAGGCAGACAAGAGAGAGTGGAAGTGCAGCCCATGCAGATTCTGTATCTCTCTCCACACTTTGCAGAAAATGCCAGTGCTTGAGTTGTTCTCTCTGACTTGTGGTCGGGCTGTTGACCTGGAGCTTGTGCTCTCAGCTCCAAAGAGGCAAAGGCACTATGCTGAGTTATCTGGCTCTGAGGTAGCGAGAGCTGGGATCTCCTTTCCCCCAACTTATCCATGTCCATGCAGCAGTCAGGAGACATGGACCACTGCTCATCACCCCCACTGTGTGTGGCATAAGTGATTCACCATGCATTCATTTCTGGTCACATAAGGGGCATCTGTTTAAAGCAGGCTTGAGCCATAGGTTAGTGTTAGCTATTTGAAGTCTGAAGTCTGAAAGTAACATCAAACAGGGAGCAGAAATGTATCATGCACAGAAAAATCTCTGGGATTTGCTTCTCCCTTTAAAAAATAATAGTAATGAATTCCAAACTGTTTGCATATGCTGTCTCCTCTGTGGTCAGGACACCTGTCTGCCTCTTTGCTGATACTTGATACAGGCTTACAGTGCTTGCAAAAATGTTAACGTGAATTTTTTGTCATGGCAAATATGAAAAGAATATCCAGCGTCTGTGTGGGCAGGTTCTCAGCAAATTTTTCTCTGCTTTTTGCGCTTTGGATCTGAAGCAACTGCTGAAATTCTGCTGCCCTTCCTTCACCGCAGACCAGGAGGGCAGAGCTGCTGCCCTGCCAAACCTGGTTCTCCTGAGCAAGGCAGCTGGTGGTGGGGCTAATGAGTTACAGCCTGGCTTCATTAAAAAAACAATATATGCAACTGGCTAAAAGTGTCTCTCTTTCTCTTTAATGACTTTTGATCCTTGGCTGATCTCAGGAAAATAGAGGTGAGGATGCAGTTAGGAGCAGCTGGGGGTCACCTGGTGACACCAGGAGCATGGTGGGCTGGGAGAACTGGGGAATGCTGAAGTGGACCTTTCACTAATCATCACTAGTACTTTTAAAACTTGCTCATTTCTTCACCAGGACTGAGATTAAAGAAAATAGAAAATATCAGAGTAAGCTCAGATATCAGTAAGCTGGGAGTATTAAAGACTGCTGGTTGAAAAAAGCTTGTGGTAACTTAAAGAAACCCTGTGTTTTCTCTTTAATTGGGTGTCTTTGGAGACACCCAGAAAGGAAACCAGGGCTGGAAGTGGAGATGGGGTTTGGGCTGTCCCACCCTGACTCTTTTTCCACAATGGTTGTGTGTTTAATGCATCCCATCTCTGCTTTGGTGCTCCTTGATGCTCGCATGGCAAAGCCAATGCTGTGGGAGTGACTCACGCTTGGCCTTGAGCGGTTGCTGAGGCTTGGGAAGAAGAGGCCCTTTAAGCATGAGAGGCAGAAGGGCGTCTGGTCAGGCTTTGAAAGAGACTTTGTTACCTGCAGCCCTTACGTCAGTGCCTTTCACCAGCTCTGCAGTGATTTAAAACAAGTAGCTTCTCTTCCAAATAAACCTCAGCTACTCCAACACTTGCTCAGATGTAATCTGTGCTGCCAAAGTGTGAAAAACCCCTGTATGGGTCAAAACAGGGACAGATACATGAGATTTGTCAGAGGGGAGGAAAAAAGGCTGTGGTCTGCTCTGTACAGGAGGTACAGGAGGGCAGCTGGCCTTACATGCCCTTTTGGGGCTGTTTTCTTGGCGAGGTGTTACAGGCAGCTTGATTTAATTTCTGCTTTTACGATGAGCAAAACATTGATTCTGACCTTTCTGTTTGCACCCACAGAGGTCCCTTGGAAGAGCCTGTCTGTTCGTCTGACTGGGTGTGTGACAGGGCTGCCTTGCTTCCAGGTGAGGAATGCATCAACTCTCAGGGCTTTTGCCAGCTGCTGAGTTTAGGGACAGTGGGAAGACCTTGGTACCATGTTTGGTCCTTCAGCAACTGATGGGCATTTCTCCAAAGCTTGGGCTGGTGGGATGCCAGCTTGCCCAGGAGGCTTGAGGTGGTTTTATTGTTTCTGGGTCTAAGTTTGGAAGCAGCAAACGTGCAGGCCCTCCTGCAGATTGGGAGTGTTGCATGGGGGCAATTGTTTGGTCCTGGGGGTCATGTTGCTTGACCTCTTTTTTGAACAAAGCTTTCCTGCTTGTTGACCTGAACTCGTTCCCCATCCATGATGTGACTCTGCAGGCTGTAGATGTTCCCAGCTGGTGATGGGGTCATGGAGAGCTGGCTGTGTGTTAGCTGAATCTATCAGTGTTTCAGTGGACAAATAGAAATTAATGCGAGTAGCAAATGAATTCCTTCTTTAGAATTGCCAATTCTGTCAAATTCACTGGAGATATTTAGCTTTGACTTAGGGATCACCGTGATGAACCACCCCAAAGTACTGCAGGAGTCCCTGGCTGGATTATGTGTAGGACACAATCTGTCCTTTGTGCCCATCCCATGGTATAATGGTTTGATTGCAGGAGGGGTAAGATTGCAGAACAGGACCAGTGTCAGGGCAGTGGGTATGTCCTCATGTTTCTCTCAGTTGTGCCACCCCAGGGGACAGAAAGATGCTGGAGATGCTGAAAAGTCCTGGCAAGAGGGGGAAGAAAGCAGCTTGTGCAGCCCTGCTGAGAAGTGCAGAATGAGTGACCAACTACCCTGGTGGTTTTGACCAATGGAGCTCCTTTGTTTGCCATGATGTTACCTGACTTAAGGACCATGAGATGTCTGTGTGGCAGGCCAAAATCAGGAACAGTGAATCTTCACTCTGTTGTGTCACTGAATTTAATCGCACTTTCATTCTTCTGTTTTGATACAATATACATTCCTACTTTCTGCCTTTACCCTCCTCTTGAGTATAATTTTTTGAGTTTTTTTTTGCTTGTTTGTTTGGGGCTTTTTGTTGAGTTTTTTTGTGGATAAATTATGTCTAGCTGGGGATGAGATTTCAGTATCCTGTTTACTGCAAACTGTTGGGGCCATTAATAAATGTTGACAGACAAAGACAGACCAGGGATTAATAAGTAGAGGACAGGAGATTAATAGCAAGAGCGTAGAATCTGGTTCAAGGCCTGATCTTCCCAGTTGCTGGGCTATGGAAGATTAATGGTAGCTCTTCTGCCAGTCTCACTCTTTCTGTGGTAGCTTTCCTGACTAAGTTTAATAAACCATCCCAGTGGGTTGCTGTGAATATGAAATCTAGGAAGATGCCCATTGTTATATTAACTAAATATGTCCTCATGTTAACTGAATGAGACAGTATTAGTTTTGCTTTCTAGTCAGCACTTGAGCAACAACATCAAGGCATCTGTGAGTGATGAAGTCAGATTTTCAGGTGCTTACAACTCCTCTCAAGACAAAAACATATCATAAAACGTATCTTCCAAAGCAAGCTGTGTCTGACAAATTGGTTTTTTACTCTGTGTCCTGTGCAAGAGATTGATTTCTCTTCTCTTGTCTGGGTTTTCAGCTTCATTTCTGTGAAAAATTTGGCTCTTGCCCTGTCTCTCATTAGGTTTAGTGTGAGATTAGATCATTGCAAGACAACACCAGCTTTGCAAGGAGAATGCCTGGTTAAATTTGTGGGTGAACTGTAGAGCTGGAGAACTGTACAACTGTGATGGGACTGCATCACAGAAAGTTTTATTTTAGTAGAAGGGTGTGTACTGTTCTGGGTATCCTATACAGAAAGTCAGCCTCAGACTCTTTCTTTTTAGGCTGGAACTGTTGCTTTAAGCACTCCTGTAGTCTTTTAACCTCTGGCCTCAGGTATTTTCCAGTCTCTGGCTCCAACAGATGATCCCCAGCCCTAGGTGCATAAGGTTATAGTGATACATAGGTATGTGTATGGCTGTGTTGGGAAGGAAGCAGCTGTGTCCCTGTAACAATGAGCGTGATGCAGCTGGGACTAACATCAGAACTTCATGCAGCAGTAGCTGACTTTATTTTCCAGGGAAGAAAGCCTATGCACTGCCTTGGTGGCCCTGTAACAAAGCTTTTCCCCTCTTGTCTGCTCTTGCATGCAGTGCCCTTGGCTTTTCAGAAGTTAATTGATTTGTCTATATTATGAGTCTCTCTTTAATTTTATTTGTGTAAAGAAGAACACACGCTAATCTTTCTCCAGAGAAATGTTTTGCGCTGCTCCTCTTTGAACGTTGGCCCTGGGTCTGCTGTTTCTTAATGAGTCTTTAACTAAACAGCTACGGTTCCCACATGCTCCAGCCTTGACACACACATACTTGTACACCCACATGCCTGCTCCCAGCTGAACCGAGCCTGCCTGCTCCCCTGCCCGCCCGCTGCTTTTTGGGATTTGCGTTGGCAAGGCAGCACCTCCCTGGGAAGCCCTGCGTGTGAGAGAGGGCTTTATACTGCACAGAGAGATAGACTTGGCCTGACATGAGCTGTCCTGTGAATTGGAAGGGCTGTAACCTCTTTACCACCCTGTCCTCCCAGCCCCTGGCTTGGTTAAAGCGTGCCTCCAGGAGCGTGGATTCCTGTGGGCTGCGCAGCCTGCGGCGAGGACTCGAGTGAGCACCGAGCACCCGATGCTGAATTACTGGCTGGAATGCCACCGGCTGCCAGATCCTTGATAGCTTGTTTTTAATGAAGATTCCTCCTGTAATTCCTAGAATATCTTGCAGTGCAAAAAAAAAGGAGCGGTGTGTGTATTTTGCTGTGGGCTGAATTTTTTCCTGCTCTTCACAGTTCCCTCCGTGAACAGAGAGGAGGAGGAGAAGGAGGGGGGAAGCAGCTGACTGCTTTTTTGTTGTTGTTTTTGTTTTTCTACTTGACTTCTGTGAAATATGTGGCGATCAATCGCTCGCGACTAACAAAATGTTTTTGTTTCTCTTTGCAAAAGCATATGGGAGCTGCAGGAAAAGCATATGGGCGTTTTTAGGAAAACATATTGGTGAATGGACAAATTATAGTGGTGCCAATATGTTTTGGATGTCTGGCTAGACCACTACTACTACCAAACTTGCTGGCATGCAGACACATCCACAAGATTTCCAGCATGTGAGGGCTGTGTAGCTGCTCCTGGGGAAAGGCAGGCTGTGCTGGATCAAGCCTCTGCTGAAACAGTGCTGTGATCCATCTTCGGGGTGCGTGACAACCTCATCATGTCCTGGGGTAGGCTGCGGTCTCATGTTTATGGCAGTGTATCCATTCTGTCAGGAGACTGAGCCCAGAGCTCCACTTGCAGCTGGCTGCAAGCAATGATAATGGTAACCATTTTCCTTTCCAAAGCACTGGACTGCAGTCCTCTTAACACCTGAGCTTCTTGCAAACATCTAGGCAGCTTCTGGTTTTCCTCAGCAAGATCTTTGTGTTAGCTTGGGCTGTTATTTTTAATTTCTCCACCGAGTGGTTTGCTTTTCAGGAAATGCAGAATATTGGAGGTATTTTTTCTGGTCCCAGTCCTGTTTGCCCTGATACTGGTGATCCAGGGAGGGGGATCCATAAGCAGGAAGCTGTAAGAGGAGCAAGTTGTCTTGGCTGGTGGGCTCTGGTGGCTCACAGCATCCCTGCAGTGGGAGCTACCCTGCTGTGGACCCCTGTCCATGATGTCCTTGGTAGCCCTTCCTACCCACCCCAGTGGTGAGGCAGTGCTGCCTCTGTCTGGGATGGGCATGGCCATGCTGGGCTGCAGAAATGGAAAAACACATAGTTGAAGACTGAGGGGATAAGCAAGTTGAACATTTGGGCAGTCATTTGGATGTTGCATTGTTCATCTCGGTTATGAACCAGCACTCGGATATTCTGAGTGGTAATTCGGCACCTTTTAGTGCTCTCCCTCTTATGCCAGCTTCAGGATGATTTGCTAGTGAGTAATTTTACATTATTTAATGTAGTCACTTTCCTTATTGCTCTTTTGTTCTGTGAAACAATTCCCTATTTTATTATGCAAACAGTACATTAAGATTCCTGTGGGCCTAAGTTCCCAACAGTGCTTGAGATGACGGCAGAGAAGTAGGTTATTTCAGAAATCATGATTCTCTCCTCTAGAAGCTTTCTTGGAGTTCTGCTTTAACTGCTTTTGATATTATACGTGCTTAAAAAAAAAAAAAAGCTAAAAAAAAATCAGTACTTCCTAAATGTTATAGAGCTCAAAAATACACTGTATGCCTTGTCACAATATTTAATACAGAGTGCTATTTACAGTAATGAATCAAAATGTCAGTTTTTAAAATATGAACTGTCAGAGTGTTCCTACTTTGCAGAAAACTTTGATATGACAGTTTGTTAATCATATGACTATTACATCAAATGTGTCTAAGAGTACTTTTGCTCTACAAAGTCTTTTTTTATTCCTTTCCCCTCCCTTTTCCCTGTTAATTCTGGCAGGGTTGTTTGACTGAATGCACTCTGGTTAGAGGTCAGAAGAATCCAGAGCTGGATGCTTTTGTTTCTGGACAGAAGGGATGTGTCAGTGCCTGTGTTCTTGCTGGTCATGGTCAGCTAATCTTTGGTACAGCCTGGTTTGGATCATGTCTCCCCTGTGAGCATGGTGAAGTGGTGCTGATGCCTCTGGGGTAGCTGCATTTGGGGCAGCTGGGCTAAAATTGTCTCTTGAGTAATAAGAAACTGGCTTGTACTGTAGCATTTCTAATCCCTCCAGCTTTAGCATGAGAGCACGAGTGAAATAAATATCTCAATGCTACCTGTGCATCCTCGATGAGCTGAAGGGCTGGGGGATGCCAAGGTCCCCTCCCCAGTGCCTTTGGTTACTCTGGACCCAGGTCAAGGACTGGGTTTGGGCTCTGATTTCCCTTCCATTAATTTAGACTAGAATGCTTCACTTTTTTTTTTATTCTTTTCTTTGCTTATCTGCAAAATGGGAGTAATTAATTGATAT